GGGCATGCCATCTATACTAAATCAAGAAGTGGAAACGACAGTCATGGAATTCTTCCCACTTAGGAAAGTAAGAGTACTAGGCTCGTGGCCCAAACAAATCTTTAGATCAGATACGGCGTTACAGAATCTGGAATTTGACCCGGCGGAATGGAAATGGGCACCGGACAAGGATAGAAATATCAAGGGTCATATCCCCATACAAAATTATACAGTCAAATTTGGATACAAACTCTTGGTCAAAACAAAAAATCCAGATCCCATAATCAAGGCCAGATGGCAGAAACTCCTAGGTCCTGACGCTGACAGACTCACACGGATTCCGTGGAAAAAATTTAAAACCATCAGACTGATCAAAATCAGAAGCCTACAGTGGCTGATTACATACGCTGGGCTGCCAGTAAACCAATGGCTCCACATACAACGCCACAAAAACGACCCTACTAGTTCAGACCTATGTTCAGTTTGTTCCGAAGGAGTGCAAGAGGGCGTGATTCACTGTCTTATTCATTGTAAGGAAGCAACAGAGTACTGGGCACGGGCTTCAGCACTCTGGGACTCCCTCTTTCAGACCCCCTTCCCTGAACTGCCTATCCAACTTCTCCTCTGGACTGACATTTCTGACCAGCTCAAGAAGACAGAAAGGCTGTGGTTYGGCYTCATCAGGAAGGTGACRCTATGGATCATTTGGAAAGARAGATGCWGCAGAACCATCGAAGGGTTGTCCAACCCAAGAGACAAGGTATGGGTGGAGACGAGAACACTGCTGCAAGCTGAAATCCTCTGCAAATGGCGAAAGCTACAACAGTCGATATCGGAAGACGAAAGTCAGCGACAAAAGGCCAGGGAAAAATTCATCGCGCTGTGGTTAGTGGATGGAAAGGTGGCTCAATTACGCAACGACCGGATCTACTGGAAAGAATGGCATCATTTAGAGACAAGCAGGAAAACCCAAACCGGAACTGCAACAGACAGACAGCTGAGTTGAAACAGGTCTGGGCTAAGAGACTTGAGGCGTACTGGGGGAAACAACAGAGAGGAGAGAAGGGAATAGGCGGGCTAAGTCAGGTAAACAAAGGGTTGGGTAGAGGCAATCCGACTGAAGAGAATTTAAGGTCGGAGGCAAATGGAGGAGTAATAGAAGTGAAGACAGGTAACACAGCAAGCATGTTAACCACATAGCGTGAAAGGACCCAGCTGGGTGGTATGGCAAAAGACTTAGGGCTTGAGGAACCCCGATTGGCTGGGTTGGACCTTGAGTTAGGGTTGAGGGATTAGGGTATTACGACATAATGTACTGACGACGAGCTAAGGTAAGCGTGGGAAGTGATGAGCTGCAAGTAAGGGTGGCAGGGGAAAGGTAGATAGTAAAAAAACAGGGTGTACAGGGCAAGTAAAGACAGGGGATGGGGGAAAAGGCTTAACCTTTCTCGGTTTTCAAGCTACATATGGCAGGTCTCTCTAGTAGACCTGAGAGGAAAAGGTGGAGCATGGCAAGCTGACAGTCAATCCTCCATGTAAATGGAGCAATCAATGCTGGTCAGGGGTCCTTCAGCCAAACGGAAGGAAGCGTGGGTCTGTAATTATGATGTATTGTTTCTGTGACTTGCCAGTGGAATAAGAACCGGACTGATGCTCCCCAGAATGGAAAAGGAGCCAGGACCATAAGGCCCTGTTAAAAAAAAAAAAAAAAAAAAAAAAAAAAAAGGTTAGAGAACGGGGGGGGGGGGGGGGGGGAACCCAAAAAAAAAAAAAAAAAAAAAAAAAAAAAAAAAAAAAAAAAAAAAAAAAAAAAAAAAAAAAAAAAGGTTAGAGAACACGGCTACGGTCGGGTGACAAGTCCTCGATGGCTGATCGTGTATCTGGCAATTTCGGTCAACCAATGGCTCAACAATAAAAGGAGCATACACAACAGGGATAGCCTCAACGAGCTATGGGCCATATGCAACTCCGTGGAGGTAGAGAATGTATGCCACTGTTTACTTGACTGCCCAAAAGCCAGGCAAATATGGGAAACAATGGAGGGCCTCTGGCAAACGGTTATGGATAAATCCTTACTGGATCAAAAGGTCATCAGATTAACAGGATTTGCAGCACCGATAACATGGTCCAAATGGAAGGTCAGGCTATTTCAGAGGCTGTGAGAATTGACATAGTGGACAATTTTGAAAAAAGCACACCAAGAAACAATCAGTAAAATACTAAACCCGCACGCTGCAGGCATGGGAAGGACTAACACAGGCACTGGAAGACGAATACAACAGACTGGGCAAAAACCAGAAGAGAGAAAACTTATAAAAGACAACCTTGACAAGGAGCAGGAGATCACAGAAAAGTTCGCTAAAGGGGTGCTGGGAGCAGGTAGGATGGGCTCAATAAATGCAGAATATTTAAAATTTAGCTGTAAGGAGATCCAGCCACGTATCGCACAAACAGAGGTGGACCACAGTGAGGCTTCTTCTCAAAGCTTACCCAACTCCTATACCCTACGCCTAGGCCCAGCCTGACGGGAAAACACAGACAGGAAGCAGAGAGAGACGTTAGGGAGGCAGTGAGGAGGGGGTCTGGACCAGGGACACCCAGGGATCCAAGCCTACATCGGACACCGAAGGGAATCCACACAAGGAGTCAGAGACTCCCCAGGGTTTAAGGCCTCATCAGGCAACCGCCCAAGGGCAGGCTGAGAGGGAGACCACTGGCCTGCAAGAGCAAAGACAGAAGGTCGCCTACAATGCAGAAGAAATTGGGCCAAGCAGAGGGAGCAGAAACATCCTGGGGTTCAGGTTTGTAGCAAGCAGCTGCCAGAGGTGGACTGAGAGGGAGAATGCCAGTCTTCTTTGAAGTTGTTTTTTCCTGAAGGGACCTAGTCAACAAGGGTGGGTTGAGAGGGAGATCGTTGGCCTGCAAGAGAAGAGGCAGAAGTTTACCGACAACACCGAAGAAAACAGGCCATGCAGAGGGACCAGAAACATCCTGGGGTCAGGGTTCTATCGGGTGTCGCCCAGAGGCGGACAGAATGCTGGTCTGTTTTGAGCTTGTTTTTTCTAAAGAGTCCCAGTCAGAAGAGGGGGCCGAGTCTGCAAAGTATGTGCTACATTGACAGTCAATCCTTCCCATAGGAAGCAATCAATTGCAAGGAATATGAGTGAGAGCGATAGATAGAAATCCAAATTGCAAAATCAAGAAGTAGTCCACATAGTCAAGTACCAAGCAGAGAGCACAATGCACCAAGATACCATCCAAATAAGAGCAATACAATGAACTCGTATGCCAATGTTGACGCTCTCTGGCCACCCCAACCCAGTATCCAATGTCGCTCCTACTGTCTGGCGCCCAGCGCCCAGCCTACACTACTCATTCTACCTACGCCTATCTACGTTCATGCAACTGGATCACATCAACTTGAAGACCAATGTACGTGACGCCATCACCAATGCCGACCGCCAGCATACACCAGGTACGTTCTCTCTCCTCCCGTCATTCCACCTTGACTCCCCTCTGCATGCGCCTCCTACCCGAAGACCACCATCGCCATCACCTGCATCAGAACGCAAGACCTGGCTATGGCTGCCGTGCGCCTGCTGCCACCGCAGCACCCTCTCACCTCCTGCGCCCGCGTGCGCCCTGGCCTGCATGCACAGCGCAGTTTTGCAAGGCGTAGCAGCAGCGTGGCCGCATTGCCTTCTCAGGCCAGAATGCATCTGCCTGGGCAGGGCACTTTCCTTTACGGAAAGTGCGGCCCTGTGTTTGGCGCATGGGTCTGGCTGGACGAGTTTCCAGTAGCGTCCAGTTCGACCCCAGTGTCTGCGCCCAGGCCCCCTTTTGCTGTTACGGGCCTGGGCCCTTTACAGTTGGGCACGCCCAGGCATCCCTGCAGGCTCCAAGTGTTTGCCGCATTCTCATTGGCTCGCAGTGCATGTGTGACGACAATGCTGCTTTCTAATTGGCCTGCGGCCACTGCGTGATGTGTCGGCCTCACACTGTGTGTGCCCAGGGCGCAACCACCTGCGCCCTTTACAGTTTGGGCCCTTTACAGTTGGGCCTGTCTCTTATACACATCTAGATGTGTATAAGAGACAGGCCTCACACTGTGTGTGCCCAGGGCGCAACCACCTGAGCCCTGGGCTCAACTGCACGTCACTGCTGCTTCTTCTGGAAAGAGGCAGGAGAGGTGCACGTTGCTCTGTAAACTGTCTGGTACCCGACATAAGGAAAAATGTCCACGCTAGTGGATATTCAGGCCCGTCTTCACTTACAGCAGGCACGGGGCTTGCTAGGGTCTGCAGCCCAGAACACTTGCATGTCTGATAAGGGCCCTGCATGGACTCTTTCCTCGCACAATGCTGTCAGGGCTCACCAGGCTGTAACATGGGGAGTCGTTTGAGTGGGTATTGAATGTACTGACTTGGCAGTGGAATAGGAACCATACTGGTGCTCCGCAGAACAGAAGGAACACGGCCCAAGTGGGCGAGTTAAAAAAAAAAAAAAAAAAAAAAAGGCCTGTGGTGCAAAAATGTTTCCTAGCCCAATCCATCACAATTGTAAAACCAACAGAAAAAAAGCATTATGTACTATGTAGGCCTTGTTCCCCCCCAAAAAAAAACAAAGAAAGCTTGTGTCCCCTACAAACAAGAACGCCACGGCCCCTGTCCCACTGGTTCTTTGGTCTTGCGGGAGCATTACGCGTGACCTGCTAGTCGCTTCATAATGTTTATAGACTAGACCTCATGATGTAGTGCTATTTTGGGGAGCAACAGTCTTCCACTGTCAGGTGAAAAAACTCTGTACCGCCAAACACACTTCGGAGCTTCCCTCTGTTACTGCCCCTTGTTTATGTTTGTGTTCCGTGTTCACATTCTTTGCTTTGAACCCCAAAAGTGCAACCGAGTATTGAACAACCAAGTTTCTCCCAAGTTCCTATCAAGTCCGAACCACCGTCCAATTGATTAGAGTGAATTAAAAACTGTTTTAATGATATCATTATTGCATGTTTTGTGAATCAGGCTAGCCTAGCAGAGTTTCTGGATTCAGGCCCTGGAGAAGAAGGGAAGAAAGAGGAGCCTGGCCTGGAAAAGTTTGATGAACAGATCTCTAAATACAAGGCTGTTCAAGAACAAATCCAGCAGCTTCCTGCTTCCGTGACGATTGGTTGGGTGCGAATAGATGCCAAGCCTATCAAGCAAGCCCTAAGTACTTGGGTCACCAAATGGGTGTTCTTGTTCACGCATCATCTCTCCAACAGAGTGGCTGCTGGAATGGAGGAACTACACAATTTCATTAGTGAAAGTGAGAAGCTGGTATGTTTCCCATCTCTATTACTGAAAGTGAGAAGCTTGCATTTCCCATTTTCTTGTCAACATTTTAGCAAGCAAACAAACAAACGAATAGAGCAAACCAAACCAAAAAAAAGCAAAGGAACCGAACCTGAATGAAACAAAAGGAAAAAACAGTCCTCGGGGACATCCGTTAAAATTGGAAGGAGACAGAGAAGATGAGCATGGCCCCTGTGCAAGGATGACATGCATAAATCGAGAAAGGGAAAAAAAACACAGAAACAAAAACAAAACAAGACGAGATACTGAGAGAAACCCAGGTGGACACAATAGAGGGAAGATGGGGGAAAGTCGACTTTGACTTCTACGACGAGCCGTATACGCTGATGGCGGTATATGAGGGAAGATGGGTGAATGTCGACTTTGACTTCTACGACGAGCCATATACACTGATGGCGGTATACTGTCCTAATGGGTTACAACAGCGGAAGGATACAGTGGAATGCATACAAGAGCATCTGGACTCGGACAGACACCTAATTGTAGTGGGGGACTGGAACGCCACTTTAGATCCCAGCTTAGATAGGATGTCTGCATCAAGCAGACACTGGGAGGAGGGAGTGGGAGAAGAGGCCCTGCCAATTCGCAGTATGATGACAAGCAAAGACTTGATGGACCCCTACAGGCTCCACTTCCTGGAAGAAAAGCATTTCACCTATCTCAAAAGGCACCGCAGCCAGCATGTCTCAGCGTCAAGAATAGGCTATTTCCTAACATCCCAGGTATATCGGGCATGATACATGAGGTAGGCATAGGTGATTTACCGTACGTAGCAGGTCTGGACCATAAGTCGGTTTTTCTCCACTTGATTACAGACAAACAGGTCGCGAGGGGAAGAAGTTTCTATTAAGTAAACAACTTGCTGCTGCGTACCACGGATATGAGGCAGGCTATGCTACAAGTATGTCAGTCCCGTAACCCTGAGTCGCAAGCCTTCCCAAAGCTACTCATCGCCCTATCTAAAGCCTCTGAAGGGGTGGCCAGGCAGATGGCGGTTAGGAGGAGGGAGAGGGAGCAGGAGCTTCGGCAGGCGATGAGATTAGCTGAGCGTAACATCAACAGGTGTCCAGGAGAGACGATTTATGAAAGGGCTTTAAAGGCGGCGAGAGAGGAGCTAGCAGAATGGGAACGATGGAGACTGTGGGGTCTTCAAATGAGGGTCAGGCTGAAGGAGTGGGAAGAAGGGGAGCGAATGACCAAATTTTTCTTTCAGAAAATCAAGACCATAGGAAGAAACGCCCTGATAGACCAATTGGAGGGACCGAACGGTCTAACATCTATCGCAGAAGGGATGGTCCAGGTAGCCCATGACTTCTACAGCAAGCTTTATGCAACAAGGGATGCGGGACACAAGGCAGCAGGTGGAGGAAGCACGATCCAAGTTTTTGCTCCACCTTGAGCCTACAATCACCCTACAGCAAGCAGCAGAGCTCGACGCCCCGTTGACCCAAGAAGAATTATGGAAGGCATTGAAGTCTATGTCCCCCAAATAAGACACCGGTGAAGGATGGATTGACCAAGGAATTCTGGTTCGAGTACTGGCCAATCATGGGCGAAGAGTACCTAGCATACCTCGAGCAAGCATGGGAATCAGAAGGAAAGGACCCAGCGACGGGAATAGTCACTTTATTGTACAAGAAAGGAAGTCCAACGGACATTCGCAACCACAGACCAATAACTTTACTCACGCTCACGCACAAGATAGTAGCCAAACTATTAGCCAACCGTCTCACAGCAATCACAGCGGGATGCTTTCATTTGGATCAGACGGGGTTTATACCTGGACGGTTCAGATTAGACAATGCCATGGCATTAACAGAGTCAGTACGATGCATAAAGGACAAGAGAATTAATGCAGCAATACTGTTCTTCGACTTTGAAAAGGCGTACGACCAGGTCAGTTGGCCTTTCCTGCAGCAATGCATGGAGAAGATGGGAGTAGGCCCAAACTTCAGGAAATGGATCAGAGTCCTCTACAACGACGCACATGGACAAGTTCAGATCAATGGACACCTGTCAATGACATTCGCGATCAATCAGGCAAGGGGACCCCTTGGCTGCACCAATCTTTCTATTTATTATGGAGGCGGTGACATCCTTTCTTACAAAGGATCCATCAATCCAACGACTTACAATGGAGCCAGACCAACAAGGACGTTTTATCCACCTGCCTACAACCCTCCTCTTCGCGGACGACCTCACAGTACTAATTAGGGCATCAGACTCATCCTTTCAAGCCTAGACGAAGGCGATGGAGGCTTTCCAACTGGCATCAGAAATGAAGATCAATTGGCTGAAGACCGTAGGTTGGTGAGCAGCGCAGACAACATCCTTATTGAGAAGAAGAGCGACATCATATCTTTGGACATCTAATGCAACCAAACCACACTTCATCTCCAAAGTAGCGTGGAAGCACGTCACACGAGCGAAAGAACAGGGAGGTCTGGGTATTTTGGACCCATAACAGCAGCTCAAGGCGCTCCAAACGAAATGGGTTGTTAAAACAATCTCCCACCAAAGGCTACCCTGGACGTCATTGGCGCTACATAGGATCAGACAAATGGCCAAATACAAGACACCTCCGAACATGTCAGGCCTGTTTTGGGTTATGTGTAGCACTTGGGCCAAGGTGGGCACAAGAGAGGGCGTAAGTATTAACACAGAGGAGAATCACAGGGCGGCATCGTACTGGGGTCAAATGCTGAAGCTGTGGAAGGAGATCTTCCCGGCCAAGGTAAGAGAACCACATACGAGAGGAGAGACTCTCCGACAACCTTTGTTCTGCAATTCGAGCATTAAGGATGCACAGGGGAAACCACTGACACTCACTGCTAAGGACTCTAAGTGGGGGAAGTGGTTAGAGCATGGGATATGGTAAGTCAAACATCTCTGGATAGAGGGAGAAAGGCGGTGGAAGACAGCCAGGGAGCTTAGGGCAGAACTTAAGGGATGCCACAGACTATCGGAGAATTACAAAACCCTGTTAGCAGCCATACCACAAGGGTGGACGGAGCTACTGCGGAAGGGAACTCAGTGGGGCCTAGGAGACTGGGCCACATGGCAACAAGACAAGGAACCAAGCGAAGGCTTTAGAATCTGGGACCAGGTGCCTACAAGAAAGGAATGGTTACAAGCGGACATGTTTACACCATTGCAAATCCGGGTAGCACCACTAGCCTTCTGGATCCTGACTCTAAAACACCAATCACCATCCAAGGGCAGACTTGCGTAAGGGGAGAGTGGTGGAGACGGAGGACTACACAATATTCTGCCCGACTACACCGGTGGAAGAATTGGAGGTGGACCCAGGTGAATGAGCGTGCATCATTAAAGGTGGAAGAATGGGAGTGGCCAGAAGGGTCAACATACTACATTACACCACTCGAATCGGTTACAGACTCCGAAGGAGATCTCATTCCCTGACGGCACCACTCACAAAGCGCTGGGAGAACAGGGTAGGAGTATCACCGAATTAACTTCCCAAAATGCCATGGACGGTGATCAACTCAATACGCCTGGGCAGGGTCAGAAGTATGCAGTGGCTAATAGCTCATGTGGCACTCCCGATAAATGCATGGCTAAATGAGAGAAAGAGTCAAGCCCAAAGGGATCCAGCTAACGCCTGGTGTACAGTATGCCAAGGAGGGACCCCAGAGTCTATGATGCACTGCCTGCTCGAATGCGAGGAGGCAAACAGTATATGGGAGGAAGCCAACACTACACGGAGCTGCTTCTCACGGGCTCCTTTTCCGGTGCTCAAGACCACCTTACTGTTGGGCCTAGACCTCCAAAGCCAATGGCAGCCTTATGAGAAGCACGTGTTTCAACTGTTAAGGCAATACAGTCTATGGACTATTTGGAAACGGCGATGCCAAATCACTCTCGAAAAGCGGTTAATGCATAGACAGGAGGCAAAGGAAATGCTCCTAACCCTAATTGAAACCGATCTGCGGCGCAATGGAAGAGGGTGGGGAGTCAATGCCAGCAACACCCGGAAAAGGCCGAGGAACATAGGACCCGCTTCATTCAGAACGTACTGGGGCAAGAGGCGTTAGCTAGTATCCAGAGAGGGAAACTGAGATTTAAATGGAGAACGGAAAAACCGGGGGCAAAGTAGGCAGTCAAAGTTAAGGAGGCATAGTAAAGACTACAGCAAGGCCCAAGGGGGGGGGAAGAAAGGTAAGCCCGATGAGGGGGAAGGCAGAATGTCTATGGCCCTGTAAGTCCGGAGGGATAGGGAGGAAGCAAAGTCGTAGGTTAAAGTGAAAGATCGGCAGCAGTAGGGTATAGGGTTTAAAGAGAGGAGAGCGGAAAGAGTGAAAGGGGGAAGACTTCGGGTAGACATAAACAGGGGAAGGGCTAGGAGGCAGCCGGGGGGTACTACTCCGTTGGTGCCTAGGATCTCTACCCTATAGTTACCCTCCTGGGTTCAGAAGCACAACTAAGGGGCATAGGGTTTAGGGTTTACGAAGAGCGGGTAGAAAGGAGGAGGTGTTGGAGGTACTTGGAAAGACGAGCAACGGCGGTCGGTTTTTTGGCTTAAAATGAGGTTGAATGGGAAGACAGTAGGCAGGTTCCTTAGTCCTCCTCTTTTTTAAGTTTTAACCTTTGGTGCTCCAGTTTCAGATTTTGTTCAGAAATAGCATGAAGCTTCATTCTCAATTTTTCCATTTCATTTCAGCCCTTTCAATTCTTAAGTGCAACCTGGGGGTAGGATGGTTGGTTCTTTCGGCTCCTAAGTGCAACCTAGGGCAAGGTTGAAAGGTTCTTTCCTTTATTGCTATTTGTCTTTTGTTAATCCAGTTGTGTCTTTGTTCAGGAATAGCATGTAGATTGACAGGAGAAAGGGACACTGGACCCGGTTTCCAGTATGGGCCTAATCTGGGTAATGGTCCCAGTCTTCCGGGTTGAGATGTGGAGGGATTCCCGGCCTCCTTTTGCTCTATATATAAAGACGCATGCTATTTGGGAGAAAAAAAAAAAAAAAAAAAAAAAAAAAAAAAAAAAAGACGAGATAAAACGTAACAAAACAAAACGAAACAAAAGACTATACAAGGAAACACTGCCATGCTCCTGGGATGATCACTCAAGTTAACCAGCTGCTAGTAGGATTATGAAGGTCCGTCACCTGATGGTGGAGGGCCGAAGTTCTGAAACGACTGACTGCCTAGGCTTGACCCCTGCAATGATAATGTTCCCTGTAAACATCCCCCTTTCTCTATCATCAGGTTCATCATCCATGGAGGGCTATGGTGCCGGCCTATTCTTGCTTGTCTGATTGTTGTTTCAGCTCAGAATGTGACATGCAGATTGTGTTGAGCTCATTGTGAAAAAGACCACCACACAGACCATTGCCTTTCTCTCACAGACACCTTTCTCTTCAATTCTGAAAAGAGGTATGAGCATTGAAGGATTTGGAGTGAACATTTACAAAAGTGCTTAACGTAGTCCCCATTCTCCATCCCGAATGTTGCATTGTGGAGGAGTTTGCCAATATTTTTTGCAACCCCTGGTCACTTGCTGAGCCAGCAGCACCCTAGTAACAGCAATTGGCGAACAATGACTTAGCTCACCTCCCATGTTTGCCTCTTGACTCTTTGTATCTGAGTCCTCCCAATATTATGATCCATGGAGTAAGGTCTGCGTGGATCAACATGGACTGGATTTGAAGGCATCTCTAAGTCTCTCTGTGACCCCGATATTAGGATACGTACGGTAGTGTCTGTATGGGTCCACATGGACTGGATTTGAAGGCATGCCGGGGCCCCGTCCCCTGATTCCACTTCAAAAATACTTAATAACTTCAGTGATACTGTTCACCACCAGGTGATAATTTGGAGTAGTCTGAATGACGTCTGGAACCGGAAAAGCTTGAGAAGACAGAATCCATGGAACAAAAATGATGCAAACTCTTGTCATGAGTCCAGCGTGATGTGTTTCATTGTGTTATTGATACCTTCTCAAGGATTGCTAATATTCTTCTTGGGAAACAACAACTGTCATTGGATGCACCTGCAGCTGGAGAGAGAGATGGAGCCCAATGAGCTGTATAAGGTTATGGCAATTGTCCGTGACATCCGTGCTCGCACACCAGTGACTGATGCGATGTTTGAGCCTGTACGCCAGACAGTGCAGCTCCTGAGGAAGTATGGAATCTCACCTAGTGAAACTGCTACAAAGAAACTAGAAGACGCTCCTATGGCATGGGCAAGCCTAAAAAAAATGGTGAGTCAAGAGTACTACGAGCTTGATTCTCTTCTCGGTAGTAATGAGAGGTACAAACTTGATTCTCTTATCGGCTTATCCTTTGGGAACATATTTTGTGAAGCAGTCGATTCTCCTTTCATGTTCCCTGAGACTTCCCAGACATGCACAAAAGTGATGCCCCTAACAGAACACCTCTGCTATGGCAGTGGCACTTGTCGTTTTCACCCTACTCTTACATCCTTTCCAGTTGCATTGTTGTGCTTGATGCACTTCAATCACAGATGAAGTGTTCCTCAACAAAAAAATTCTGCACAGTCCGCTGAACTTCAATTGTCTTTAATCCGTGAATGTGATGACAGCTCTGTCCTCCTCTTGTGTTGCATTCCTTCTTCCATTGGGGACCTCACTATTCCATTTGTTTTGTTTGTTGTATCTCGTGCCTGAACCGTTCGTCTTCGTCCTGTGCTCTGAGTCTCAAAGAACAAGTGCATGAACTTAGCAAGTCCATATGGAGAAGACAATGTGACTCATGCTGTTCAAACACATATGCGCACTTCACCAACACATGCAAGCACTTCCCGCAACACATATGAAGTTATGAACTAAACAAAAAGAATAACAATAATAATAATTCTCCCAGAGTGTGGGAGAAAGTGTCAGAGAAAGTGTTAGAGGAAGTGTCAAAGAGAGTGTCAGACGTCATCCAAAACTTTTCATTTTTCCAATCAGGCCGTTCACACCTTTCTACAATTCCACTGATTCCAGCCTAAAACGCGACTGTGTTCATTCACCCACAGTCTCACACATTACACCATCTGAAACATACCACACGTCCAGACAGTGCTGGACACATCGTCCATGTCAGAAATCATTACGCTTTCAATTTTTCATCTCTGCCTTCACACATTTCTTCATTTTCCAATGAACAAACCTAAAACCCAACTGGGTTCATTTACGCAAACATAACACCATCTGAAACACCTCCACCCCCCCCACCCCACCCTCTCTT